GACTGACCAGTAAAATGAGAGCTTCACCTTGCAACACAAAAGATTGACACAAAGCCCATAACACTGAAGAAGCTGCACCGATCCATCAATCATTCCCCTCTCCGTTCATCCCTCAATTGTAAACAAACCCCAGAGATGCTTAAACTCCACCACTTGAGACAGTACCTCACTCCCAACCTGGAGAAGACAATCCACAGTTTTCCAACTGGGGACCATGGCCTCAGGTTTGGAGGTGCTGATCCTTATCCCAGCTGCTTCACACTCAGCTGCAAACTGCTCCATTGAGAGCTGAAGTTCACGGCACAATGACGTCAGCTGGACCACATCATCTGCAAATAGCAGAGACAGAATCCAGAATACAGCGAACATTCTGTCCCCTGTCTGCACCAAGGATTCTATCCATAAAAGTTATGAACAGAATTAGTGACAACGGGAAATGCTGGCAGAGTCCAACTCCCACTTTAAAGGGGTCCAACTTACTGCTGGCAATGTGAACCAAAGTTCCACATTGCTTGTATAAGGACTGAATGGTTCAACAGACCCCCAAATTCCATACTCAGTGGAACACCCCCTACAGTATACCTGGAGAAACATGGTTCCATGCCTTCTCCATGTTCACAAAACACATGTAGAATTCTTGAGCAAACTCCCATGATCCTCTGAGGACCCTATGAGTTAGTTTAGTGTTCCACGGCCACGATGGGACCCACATTGCTCCTCATAAATCTGAGGTTTGACCATCCATCAGACTTTCTCCAGCACCCTTGAATAGACCTTACTGGGAGGCTAAGGAGGCTGATGCCCCCTATAACTGGAACACGCCCTCTGGACCCCCTTTTTGACAAGGGGAATCTCACCACAACCTGCCAATAATAGTGGCACTTCTCTGTCATAAAGCAAAGATAATGTTTTAACAGATCTTTGTGTACTGACATGGAAACAATAAATTGGAGATGTAGTTAAAAAGTTAAAAGGCTTATTAAATATGGATAGGGACAACGAGGATCTGTGGAGGACAGTGACATATGAGTTCAGGTAATTCAGAGGAGATTTGATGAAAAGTGAGCAGATAATCCTTACATATTGTGTTTTTGTTTCCAGACAGGAGAAGACTGAAAGGACTTGAGGTACAGGGAACAGAAAAGAAGACCTAAATACAGCACTGAGGACAGACGTCAGGTAGTAACCCCAAAAAAACTACATCAATGTACAGCTGGAGCAGAAACTAAAACTGAACAGCAAATCAATTAAAACTCTAATGGAGGTGGGAAACCATCCAAACTAACTGTGAGCGTTTATAAGTGGTTGTAAACAGTTTAGAGTTTTGAAAACAATTAAAAATGAGACAATCAAAAGAGTTGTGTGGCAAAGACGATCAAGAGGTGATGGCATGTAGAAAACTCAACAATAGATCAATTTTGTGCCTAATTTTTCTGTTGTTGTATTTGGATAAAAACAAATAAACAAACAAACAAAACCAACATTCCTTGAATGAATTAATATACCTTGCTAATATATATGACTAGCTGTGGTGGCCATCTTTATATGGATTGCCTTCAACTGATCACTTGATTAATTTTATTCATACTCATCCATTGGTTGCAGAGATTCTTTGCTAACAAACAGACAAACAGATTTGCACAGGAGTGTGAAACCTGCGGCTCTGGAGCCACATGTGGCTCTTTGGTCCCTCCGCAGAGGTTCTTTCAAGCTTTAACCAAAACTAACATAAAACTGAATTTTATGGGATGTTATATCCACAACAAAAAATGACTAGTTTTACCAGTTTTCCTGTCAATTCCTTTGAAAATATGTGGATACTTGTACTAATACAGAGCGTAAATTATGCTCACTTTAACTTTATGATTTATTTATTCAAAATAGGATACTCAATTTCTCCACAATAAAAAAAAATTGCATAAGACTGCACAGTTCATGGTTTTAGTTTTTTAAAAATTGGCAAAAAAAATTTTTCTTTACAAGAATCCAGTCGCAGCACGGTGGCACAACTTGTAGAACTGCTGCCTCTCAGCAAGAAGGTTGCTGGTTCAAATCCTGGTCCAGGGGCCTTTCTGGGTGGAGTTTGCATGTTCTCTCCGTGCATGCGTGGGTTTCCTCCAGGTACTCCTGTTTCCTCCCACAGACCAAAAACATGCATGTTAGTCTGATTGGTAACTCTAAATTGTCCCTAGGTGTGAGTGAGAGAGTGAATGGTTGTTTGTCTCGTTTGTCTCTATGTGTCTCTGTGATGGACTGGAGACCCGTCCAGGGTGTCCCCCGCCCCTCGCACAGTGATTGCTGGACATGGGCACCAGCGACCCCCGTGACCCAAAGTGGAAGAAGCGGGTAAAGAAAATGGATGGATGGATTTATTTATTTTGTTCATGAAGCCTTGCTACTAAAGATGGAAACTTTTCTTTTAAGACAATTTTTTTGGAAAGAATGCTGAATTTCCTGGAACTGAAGGAACTTTCCAGCCGTTACCTCCCACACTGAGGTGCTTTTCTCCATTAAATACCTCTTACCTAGGAGCTGCGGAGGTCCAAGGACTGCCTTGTTGGGTTTGAGAATGAACTGAATGAGGGTATCCGGGGAGAGACACTGGTCCAGCAGCAGAACTTCAGGGCAATCCGTGGGGGTCATCGAATCCCTCCCCATTCCTCCGGCTCTGCTCCTGCCGTCCCGAATATGGCTCATCTTAATACTGAAGGGAAACTCATGGCCTGCAAAGATCAGAGTTCAGAGGGTCTTTTTTGTGTTTTTTTTTTTTTTTGGGGGGGGGGGGTGCTCTGGCATGAGCAGTGTGTTGTCTGACATGTAGCAATAAAAAATATATATTTCAAAAAATAGGGAAAAATTGTCAAAAGGCAACAAGAAATCATAAACACTGATGAGATGTAAAGAACTCGGTGTGAACTACACAACAAAAGAATATGGTGAAGGAATGTTGGCCACTGTGAGGGCAAATGATCTGCACTGAAACGCTCCCAGATGTCGAGTTGTTTAAGCTCGTTCTGAAGAGACACCCTGCTGCGGGCTTTTACAGCAATAACACTGCCTCGGTTTGTTAAGATGATGACCCAAAAATAATTTTGAAGCACTCATCGCTAAAAAGAAAAACACTGCAATGTTTATGACTGTGCTTGTACGCATGTACTGTAGGTAGCAAAATGAACGAGCTACTGAACGGGTTTTTGTGATACTGAGTAATTATTGGATGCACATGTAAAACTGATTAACTTCTGGAGTGAACCTGATTCAAAATGGCTGCCACAGCCAACCAACCTCAGGAAACAGAAACGAGTATAACTTGGACATTTTCACAGCTATGGAGGCACAACTTAATAACAGTATATTTACTGAGTGCTAGCAGGCAGCGTGAGATTTTTTGTTTTCAAGATTTGAGGAACTCTGTTTAAACCTCTGAATATAAACTTTAAGAAAATAATGTATCTGTTTGGACGTTAATCACAATCTTAAAACATACATTTGTTAAAGTTTTCAAGTGTTTGTAGAAGATAATGTTTGGTGGCTCACCAATAAGAGGGTACGGAGGATCGTCCTTACAGGAACTCACCCACAGCCGGTGGTCTTTTACACAGCCCTAGGGAAAAAAATGGTTACCGTATTTTTCAGCCTATAAGTCACATTTTTTTTGCATACTTTGTGTGCCCTGCGACTTACACGCCGAAGCGACGTATTTATGGATTGTTTCCCATATTTATAAACCAATTTTTGGCTGAGATATGACCGTTTTCATTCATTCTGACTGAAAATATTGAACACTACCATTTTCAGCCACTAGATGGCACTTGAGTAGTATGGCATGCCATTGTGTCATGTAAAAGGTAAAACTGGTTATTAATGACACAATCAGCTTGCCATAGCCTGCCACCTTCGTTCTGCTCGCTTGGAGCGACCATCAAATCAGCTTCATTTTGCTGCACCGCCCCGGAGACATGCAGCTGATTTGACTTAAAGTCCTTTTATTAAGTAAAAGTTAGACTGAGACACACCTTTACTATAATTTCGAGAAAACAAATAATTGTTTTTAGGTGTTTATCTTGTTAAATTTTGAAGAAATGCACAGCAACTCGTCCCTCTGCGCACGCCCTCTTCCGCGAATCGGGTTTTGAAATGCAGCTGATTTGACCGTCAAAGTGCATTTATTAAGCAAGGGTTAGACTGAAAATCACCTTTACTGTAATTTCGAGCAAACAAATAATTGTTTTTAAGTGTTAGTCTTGTTAAATTCTTGTTAAAGTCCTCCCGTGCACGCTCTCGCGGCAGCCATTTGGCAGCCAGTCGATTTTTGGCACAACACCGGCCACATTTCTGGGTTGGTGATGCGTAACAAACGTGATCGTCAGCAGTGACACACAATAGATGTGACGTATACAGCGAAGCGATGTATTGAAGGATTTTTCCAATTTATTAGACATATTTGGAACTTTGAGACTTATAGGGCGGTGCGATGTGTATGGCGGAAAATACAGTACTTTTGTTCAGAAAGTTTATTCTGTCTACGTTAAGAAACAAACTCACGCACATTTAATAAAATAGAGCTGTGCCATTTATGATTGCATAAACTTGCATAGCCTTTAACATCAAATTTAAGGTCATACTTACTGAAACGCCAAACTGCTGCAGAGCCACCCGGATCACATCGTCTGTGCTGTCACTGTTGTTCACTGAAAGGGTCTTGGCCTAGTGGGAACATGATGGAAATATGGTGTTACATAAAATAATTGTACTGCTGGTGATGTTATGAAAAGAATCAAAACTAAAAAGGAAGCGCACATATGCACAGTTTCCAATATCCTTGGCGAATATCTTCAGAGGGATGGTCTTGGGGTCGTCCCTCTCTTTTCCATCATTTATACGACTGAAATAAAAACAACAAAGAAAAATGTTGCAATAAGAGACAAAATGAGGTTAAAGGAAAGTCTGGTGATCTTTGGAGTACTTCATGCTTCATCAGTGCATCTTCATCTGATACAGGCACAGGGCACAGAGGACAGAGAAAGAGGCAAAACTCTTCATCCAAGCTAGGCTAATTGCTAACCAAACAAGGGCTTATTTTTATTTTTGTTCAGGCTCATAAAAACAACTCTTTCAAAATAGACATAATAAGATAAAATGCTCCATTACCTAATATTCAACCAAAAAGTGCTCTTTTTATAAACCTAAAATTACAATTAAAATTAAAGATGTAGCCATGGTTTGGCTAGCCATTAGCCTTGTCTGGATGAATACTTTTGCCCTTCCTTGGTACTCTTGTTCTGCTACTAGTATCGCAACTGCTTAAGTACTAACCATTGATAACCATTAGACAGAACATCACTTTAAATGTCCGGAAATTACTGTACCATGATGATTAATGTATTGGATAAAACTAAGAATCACTAAATCCATTATTGTAATTTGTTTGCATGGAAACTCTGTCCTATCTTACATTTATGTCAGTCTATAATTGTGATTGAAGAGAATGAAAAATAATAAAAACTTACTTGTTGACGAGTGCCAACCATTTATCCTTGAGCTCTCCAGAGCTGAAGACAAATAAAAAAATAATCAGCCAAAATGAAAGGATTTAACATTTTTTAAACCTGTAGTTCCAAATCAAAGACTCTACCTGCAGCTAGCTCGTTTCACTGAATGTAACAGGTAAATCAAGCGTGTGCGTGACACCGAGGCAGGTGCGTGACACCGAGGCAGGTGCGTGAC